AGAGCAGGTGGAGGTCTGCTCTGGAAAGAAGAGGAATGAAAGTCAGTCGTGGTAAGACGGAATACATGTGTATGAACGAGAGGGAGGGAAGTGGAACGGTGAGGTTACAGGGGGCTGAGGTCAAGAAGGTGCAGGAGTTTAAGTATTTGGGGTCAACAGTCCAGTATGATGGGGAGTGTGGGAAAGAGGTGAAGAGGCGAGTGCAGGCGGGTTGGAGTGGGTGGAGAAAGGTGTCAGGAGTGTTGTGTGACAGAAGAGTGTCAGCAAGAATCCAAGGAAAGGTGTACAAGACAGTAGTGAGACCAGCTATGCTGTATGGGTTAGAGACTGTAGCAGTGAGGAAAAGACAAGAGGCAGAGATGGAGGTAGCAGAGATGAGGATGTTGAGGTTCTCTTTAGGAGTGACCAGGATGGACAGGATTAGGAATGAGCACATCAGAGGGACAGCTCAGGTCGGCTGTTTTGGGGACAAGGTCAGAGAGGCCAGATTGAGATGGTTTGGACATGTGCAGAGGAGGGATAGTGGTTATATTGGTAGAAGGATGTTGGAGATGGAGCTGCCAGGCAAGAGGTCAAGAGGAAGGCCAAAGAGGAGATATATGGATGTGCTAAAAGAGGACATGAAGTTAATTGGTGTGAGAGTAGAGGATGCCGAGGATAGAGTTAGGTGGAAACAGATGATTTTCTGTGGTGACCCCTAACGGGAACAGCCAAAAGGAGAAGAAGAAGAAGAGGCTATATCCATACAAGACAAATTTTAAATGTACTCTTTCTTCTATGCATTTCCATAGTTTACTGAGGACAATAATTCCTTTGATTTTGAAAAAAATTATTGGGTACAGCATGTTTGCCCCCCTGTGATTTACCTGTAGCTCTTGCCTTCCACCTGCAGTACACGTAGTTTGACACTAGATGGAGACAGAGACTGTACAGGGCGGTGGATCTCCAGGTTTAAGTAGCTTACTGAATACCTCTATCTATAATTTACTTTCTCCGGTTCTTAAAATTGAAATTAAATACTATACATATTATTTTGAAGCCACTACTCTGTCTGACATTTGCAGACATTACTCCGCTGTGCTATGTCCTAGTGCACAACAGTAGTAGTAAACGAGTGGGAAAGGTGTTGGGAAGGAAGTGGGTCTTTGCGTCCCACGCAGAGGAGGGTTTTCCGGTTAAAGTTTCTTTTGTGATTCGGAAGTGGCGGTGTGATGCTAAAGCTTTTTGTTGTTACAGACACGACACACAAGTGGCGACCATGATAAGTAAGCGTACATATACAAAGCAAATAGTATCGGAGCATTAGTTTGTTTTGTAAAGAGGGAAAGCCGCAGCATGACAACAGGAACTGCGTTGAACAGCTAGCTAGCGGTTAGCGGTAATGACTGGCTGTTATAGCATGCTAACGGCAGCTAGCTGACTTGGGCTGTCTGGCTGCAGTCAGCATGGAACCCGAGAAGGTTTTAGGCTTGATGTATTCGGCCCTAGCAATAAGTATGTTATTGGTCACGTTTCACGTTCATCGTGTAGTTTGTATGCGACTTTACACAGTAGCCCCATTATAACTTAGATATTTACTATTTAGGTCCATGAACGTATTACCACACGAGCTAACAATAGCTTAGCATTTCTGTCTATTTTGGACAGTGACAGCTGTCTGCTGACATCTGTGGGGAGCCCTCCTGCAGCGTGCAGTTGTCTACCCCCTATCATCAGTTCTCATTATTCCTTTTTATACTCTGTTACTTTGTTTTTAAATACACTCCCTGGTTACACTAATACGAGCACTGCTGCTCTGTATCATAAACAGAAGAGCAATGGGGCATTTAAGGAAGGGTTTGTAGAGAAGGAGAGTACAGTTGTTGTCTGCTGATGCTTTTTAATTTTCCTCAACAGAACTGTTCAGAGCTCTGACCGTCTGAAATGGGAAAACGCCCCCTCAGGATTCTGTAATACAGGTAAGCAACAAACCTACTTTTTCTCTGGCATATTTTATGACAGGGCAGGTGCGAAAGACACTATTTACCTGGCTGCTCCTGGAACTGAGATGGTGCTTTAGCTCTTGATAGTAGTTATATTGTATCTGAGGTACAGTATGCACCTGTACTATCTGTACCGTTGTAGTTGTGACACATACTGTATATGAAGGCTTGTGTGGGCGTGTAGAGAGGAATGCTTGAGTACTCAGTGTCTCTCTTCAGTGTATTGCACCAGAGTAGTACACACTACATGTTTGAACAGTAGTCCTCTGTTGTTAAAGTCAGGATGAAGCAACTGTTGCACTGAGTGTCTCTGAAAAGCCATCTGTTTGAAATGGTCAGGTTAAATCACCATTAAACACCTCACTGTAGAGTGCTGGACCTTGTTAGGCTGCATTGCTGAGGCATCGCTGTACACTGCAGAGATGTAAAGCCACATCTTTCTAACGCTTTTTCATGTCACGCTGACTGGCGATATGCATGCCTAAGTAATTTGTCGTTGTCCTTAGGCAGAGATCACATGTTGTTTTGAAGCCACCATAGACATTATCTCACTGTCAGAGGCGTGCATTGTTATTAAGCATAACCTGTTTTCTAGACATGGGGTGGCCAAGGGCCTGTGCAGCAGCAATGTCCCCGGCCGGGAGCAAATAGGGAGCACAGCCAAAGTTAGATTTTTAAAAAGCATGGTGTGTGTCTCATTTGTACACAAAAAAACAGTTGGATTCTTAATTATGTATGATTTATTATCTCATAGAACAGTGTTTAGTTTACCTTTTATGTTTTTCAAATGTGCCACCCCTCTCTGAGTCTATGCCCCAAACTGGCCACCCCACCCAAAATTTGCTAGATCCATCCCGGTCCCAGGTGCTAGTAATTTTATCTAGTGTTTGTCAAAGGACTAATTTCTTTAAAGAATTCCTTTGTTATGGCAGCAGTCTGACCCGCAGTGCTGGATTGAACAGGATAACTGTTGCATTGTAGCACCACTGACAATCTCCATCGTGTTATTTCCGTCCTTTTGTAAGTCAGTTTTGTGGCTTGTTTTTCTCAGTGTCATTGGAGAGGCCTGTGACTCATTCATTTGTTTATAACATCTGTAACCCGATTTCCAGATTGCAATATAATCAGGCCAAAATGAACATGCAAAACTCACTTTGGGATTTGCTGTCGAGGTAGAGCTTTTCTTGGCAGCAGGTGAGTCAGATTAGCAGATATGCCACAGCATTTGCTAATTGATGCTGTCATAACACTGCAATGGCAACATTTTTGACCAGAAGATATCACCCAGCTTTACATGTAAACAAGATGGTGAAAGATTAGAGACTTACAGTATAACATTTGTTTTGCTGTGTCTCTTAATATAAGTACTGACTCGAATCATGCCTATATTATCTAGTGAGATCTCATCCCATGAAATCCTGCGTCATAATTTTGAAAACTTTGAGTTGTTTTTTTGTACAACTGCTCATAATTAGATATGGCATTTGAAAATATAGGCTTTTATTAAATTACATTTTTAGCAATAACTTGTTTCCTCAAAGTGATGTATCATTTTGACATTATAACCAGAACTTGTGTATTGATTGATGCTAGTCAGACAGACTGCCTTGTTTGTTTTCTGGCCCGCTGTGCAGTAATGACAGAATTCCCATCAGAAGTCTAGACAACACATATTTGCACAGAGAGCATAAGAGAGATCAACACACAGCACAGCAGTGGGTCCTGCCTTTGTAAACATCTGTTAGTGATTGGCTGCCCAAGTTACTGGGCCTGCTCCGTCCAGAGGAGCATTTCATAATGGCAGATAACCAGTTCCACCAGGCTTAGTCCAATAAATCAGGAAAATCTGATCAATAAATGTAACCTGACTTAAAAGACTCCACCAGAATACTCTCAGACAGGTTCATGCATATGGTTAGCTTAAATGGCTGGGAGCTTAGCCAGTTAGTCTTACAATTGTGTCTGCCAGTCTGAAATGCAGTGTTTTCTCTAATGTTCCTCCCCAGCCGGGCTTCATTACTGCTGAACTGTGAACACATGTCACACTGCGGCATGTGTCCGAGCTTTGACACAGTTGGTGTCATTTTAATGTTATGTATAAGGCTGGGCAATAATTAAATATTAAAGGTTATCAGATGGTATTACCAGGCCCAGATGGAATCTGCGTGAACAGAATTCCAATACCTCTGCAGATTTTCCACAGATTTTGAAAAGAAAGTAGAAACTCAGAATGTAAGCAAGTGTTGCCCCCCCCCCCCCCACCCCCCGCCTACATGTACACAACAGTTCTGTAATGTTGTCAGTGGTTTTGTGTGTGTGTGTGTGTGTGTGTGTGTGTCATTGTCAGTCATTTTCCAAGCCAAGTATCTGACATCCACATCTACTTCACACCTTGACTAGCTAGTTGCACATCTGTGTAGCACTTCTTTTTCATTCTTTACACAACTATCTGTGACATTTCTCATGTCGACCTTCCACAGCTATTCCTCAGTAACCTGTGTGAACAGCCTAGGTTAATGTCCATTAACAAAGACATCTCCTGGCCAGATTGTCTGAAAATGTGCTCCGTTATCCCCCAGCCCCCTTTTTTATGCAGTGGTCAGTAAGTAGTCTATGTCTAAAGAAAGCAAAGCTTGTATTTCAGTGGCCATGTGTATTTAAATTTCATGCTGGTGGAATTTCCAACAAATGTTCACACTTTGAGTGTCTTGAAATGCTGATGGAATAAAAATTTCTCACATTTAAAAGTTTATATAAAGTGATTTCTTTCACCTTGCCCAACATTATTTTAGTCGCTTTAATGCATTTTTGTGCTTTTGCTCAAAAAATGATCAGTGTTGGCTAAATGCATATTTTCTTATACATTACAAGCAAAAAAAAAAAGAAACTCCACGGAGTTCCAGCCTGAATGACTGCAGAAAACTGTAAAAAGGAAAAATCTGCAGATTCCTTTTGGGCCACGTATTTTATTACTCAACAGTTTTTGTTCTTCCAAATGGATAATGGGCCTTGTTCATTAGGAACATTTTAACACGGCAGAGTGGAATGAGCACAGCTATAAATTATAAAGTGCTATCAATTGCCTCTTTTGACAACAAGCCAAATCGACATTTATCCCAAAATGTCAAAATGGTTCTAAGTCACAAACTTGCACTTCCTAAACAAGGCTTGAGTTAGTCTGATCCCACCGTCTCTGACTTTAACTCTGGTTTGTGTTGTTAGGCTCACACAAATCACGCTTTTCAACTTTACCTTGATTTTTCCCAGAGAGGAATTTGTCTTGCAGCCAGATGCAACACAAACAAGCACAGATTTTATTTGTTTCTCTAATGACCCACTTCCCAGGGGAAGTTATTAGATGGGTTAAATGTAAGAGATAAGGTGGAAAAAGTCCCTGAACATAGTTCTGTCTTTGTAAAACAGCAGCCACAGCAACAGTTGTAAAAGCTCAAACATGCAAATTCTTCCCTGATGGTTGGTTTAATCCCTAGCCTACAGCCCTGCATTCTTCTTCTTTTCCCATTTGTGTGTGCATGTGTGTGCACACTTGGTGTTACTCACATTGTAGGGACTGAAACCTGTTTACACACACACACACACACACACACACACAGTGGGGACTTGTCCTTCCTTGTAGTCATGGTGGGGACCAGCATCTGGTGGTGAGTTTTAGGGTGACAACTTGGTTTAAGGTTAGCCTTAGGTAATTTATTGCTAAGGTTGGTCTAAGTCTTCAGGAAATTAATGCAAGCCAGTTTAAATTCCCAGTGAGGGATAACGTGTGTGCGACAGACAGATGCTCAGTAACTTGGGACTAACTTTTTGACTTGTCACATCCTGTAAAAGTGGTACCATTTTCCTTTATCTTTTATTCCATGGCATTCTTGAATAGTTAACTCTTACTGGCCTACGAATCCTATGACTAATCTTATGAACTGTGGAAGCAAATCTTTTATGGGCAAATGCACTGTGTGTCCGAGGCAATATTTTTCTACATTTTGCATTGTGGCATCAAGCTTGGCCATCAGTCCTGTGAACTGGCACATGGATGTGCCAGAGGATGTGTGAAAATTTATTGAATGTGATACTGTGATAACCTGATGCTTGCTATTTGGCATGAATGACCGACTGACTGACACTCAACAAGCTTATATTTTCAGTTGCTAAACCACAAGCTGCATACCTGTCAGATAATACAGTATCATCCCATATGTTCTGCATCTGTACTAAGGTTTTAGTGGGCCTGAAGTCCATGCATTTGTTAAATACCACGCTAATATCATAAAGTAGACACTGAGATAAAGTGAAACTTTTCACACTTTACAGTTTATTTTGAGCACATAACAAGTCAAGCATTAGACTGCACACCTTTATTAAATTAAGAACTGCAGTATATTCTTGGTAGTTGCTGCCCTGTTTTCACATAGAGCCCTTTGATGATTCCAAACTATTCATTTCCTATTTTTGCTACAGGTCTCCCTGTCACCCTGGCAATGCTACACTCACAGAAAGGCGAGGGGCCAAACCCCAGCAGTATGGAAGTTGCTGGTACTCCAGGCGCGGCGCCGAGCCCTCAGAGCGAGGCAGTGACCTGTGAGCTTCAGGAGCTGTCCCTTCAGCCTGTTTCCAACCTGCTGCCTATACAGGAGCGCAAGAATGGTGAGACAGTGATGCAGGCTAACTTTTTCTTATTTAGTGGAGGAGTTCAACCTCATCTGCCATGCACTGTGATCAGTGCCATGTAAGCATACTATGGCAGGTAACACTACTGTTAATCTCCAGGGTTACATTGGCCATTGTTCCCAGCTGGGCGCTGGCCGGCTGGTTTTGTGCTGAGACAGTTGGTTGACCTGCTTTTAATTTGTCAGGTAGAGGAAGGTTGGGCAAGGTTGGACCATTAAATGATTAACCATGTATAGGACGAGTCACACAGTGGCAGAGAATATTGCAGAATAACATCTAAACACTGAGGTCCAGTACAGCCAGCAGTGACTGCAACAGAAGGAATAAAAACTGAAGAGACTTCATTTATGTTACATGGACAGTGTTTCAGGTGACGTTTACATCATTTAATAATTTGTCTAGAATGGTCTTATTTCTGCTTCTCACAAACCTGACCATGTTTACCTCACAAAAATGCACAAAGACACACTTTCTCACACAGCCTCAGGCCACCGCTCCCAAATTGAAACCACTGCTTTTGTTGGTCTATTTCTTTCACACTTCATTGTGCTAGCCAGAAGCAGACATGTTGCTGCAGTCACTCCTGCAGCTTATCTAGCACGAAGATTCTTTAAGTGTTTTTCTACCACAGGAACTAAATGAGCCACAACCTGGAGATTCCCATTCCTATAATTTGGTGGAACTTGTAGGGCTGGTGCCTCAGTAGGTTCTGACAGAGCACTGGGGAGATGCATTATTTATAGCTGCATGGGCCTATGTATGCATAGGTTGTGACAGTAGAACAGAATAAAATCTCCACAGGGTATCAAAGCTTTATCTCTGACACCAGGTCATGCAGTCTGCTTATTTCCCTCCTCATTAATGGACAAGTGCTGGGGGGAATTAATTTTAAACATGTTTTCAGGATGCGGATCAGAGATGGATGTTTAGTTCCGTGTGCACTAGTTTCTGTGTGTGTGTGTGTGTGTGTGTGTGTGTGTGTGAGTGAGAGAGAGAGAGAGAGAGAGAGAGAGAGAGCACTGACGCAACTGAGAACTGTCTTGAAAGTAATCAACATTTCTTGTCTTCAGTCACAAACTTACCACTGAATAATTCCACAGCAGACAAAAAGCAGCCACACTCTGATAATGTGATAGAGATCTTTTAAAACTTTGAGGTGGAGAATCTGCTTTGATTGTGGAAGTGAGCAGCAGCAGGAGGAGGAGGGAAGGGGGAGAAGGAAGGAGGGCGAGGTCATGTCTGAAACGGCAGCATTGCATAACTTCTCAGACAGGGAACAGAAGGAAAGCCAGGGAAAATGGAAAGCAAGAAAGGAGGGGGTGTGTTACTTATTCATGAGCAGGTGAGGCTTGGCACCAGCTTGTTTTTGTTCTTTTTCAATTTTAACTTCTAAACTGGCTGTGAGAGTGCAGAGAGGAGTGCCCAAAGGTTAGTTTATTTTTAAGAAGAGCTCAAGAAAGTTCACTGGAGCAGGAGGAGAAAAATGTGTAGTCCCAAAGAGACCAGAACCCATGGTTGGACCTTGTTGTAACCCAGGGTGTAATAAACATACTCACAGACCTATACACACCCTCTCTGCAGGGGCGTGCACACACTTGTAGAAGGCAATCCAGAGAAACGGACTGTGAGGTGCAGTTCTGCTATACTTGTAGAGTACCAGCTGTCAGTGAGAGGACATGTGTTTAATGTGGCTTTTCTCCTGCCGGACATCTCTTCAGCCTTTCGCCGCTGTTGTGTTTTTTCACACCATTCACTGTGCTTGTGTTGGGGCTATGAATTGCTAAACTTGCCGTGAGGGTGACGCTTCCCTTCATCATGGTGCAGAGACATATCCGGTCAGGTAAAGTCAATTTCAGCAGTCTTGTCATGTGCTTTCAAAATAATGACTGAACATTGCCTACAAAGTCTGCCTTAAGCTGAGCTCCAGGTGTGATGTAAGTGTTCTGACACTGCAGTTTTAATTGTTGATTGAATGGGAATGACTGCTCTGCAGTTTAGTGGAAGGCTGTAAAATAAGGCAGGACTGTAGATTTTAACCACAGTTAGCTACAAGAAAAGAGAACCAAATTAAAAGAATTAAACTCCCAGGGTCCAGATATTACCAAATTGATTAAAGAGGTACAGTCTGGAAAAGTATGTTATTGACAGGAAGGTCTCCGGGACAAATGGAGCAGGCGGAGTGGGAGGACAGGTTTGCAGGGTCTCTCATGAGCAGAACTAAGTGGTTCAGGGGTCTGAGCATGTTGAAGGCTTTGGTGGATGAATTGGGCTCTTCTCATAAACTGACAGTCCTGCTCATCTCAAAGTAGTGGTCAGCAGTCTAGACAAGGAACTGCTCCTCTCTAAAAACCAACTGCTGGCCAGAGGCCAGGATCCGGGCAGGGCTGGAGAGCTGGAGGTTAGCTAAGGAAGGAGGCAGAGAGAAATAGAGAATCTCAGCCCAGGCTTGCTTAGGGAGCCAAGAGCCAGGAAGAAAAGTAGGTTGGAGGTGTCAGAGACTCTGCTCCAGATTTGAGTGGAAATGACACACTCTTTTCAGTCAGAACACATTGTTCCAGATCATGACCCAGACTACTGCTACAACAGAGACTGTCTAAAGACAGTGTGCCAGTACTGTTTTCAGGCCTCTGCATGTTTCTGATTTCATTGATTAGTACACCTAAAACCACTGAGTGGAACTAATAAGACCGATTTGCTGCTGTAGTGTTTGGATTGATAACCTGCAGACTCGTGTGTTGCAGGCACACAAGCCAGAGATGGAAAGTCTCCAGAGCCTGGCTGAACTAAAATCATTTTGACTACTGGCCTTTGATCAAGTTACCACATAGGAGCTACAGCTAGCTTGGCAGTTCCATGTACCATTCGGACAAAGAGAAATGGCATTTTGACTTTAGAAAGTGATCGACCAAAGGCTAAATGTCTTGGATGAGGGGCTGGTAGGGCCTGACTGAGATTACATCAGTGAGGCTTTGGGTTTGGCCGGCTATGTCATCCAGACTTGTAAACAGAAGCAGATAAAGATCATGTTCTCCACCCTTGCAGAATGACAACAGATGGGCTGTAGCTTACACTGGGTTCTGGTCAACAGGAGCCAGAAATAATCAGTTTACCTTCAGAAATTAAAAATACTAATGTAATCTGAGCCCACATAAGCAGGCTGTTATGCTGTTGGGCAGTATTTAAGATATAATGGTTAGATATGTAACCTGGCCAAGGCTACCCTAGCCCAGCAGTGATTCAGAGAGGCTGATGGTACTGTTATGTAACAGACCTGGAGGCTGCCAGCAACAGAGGAACCATAGCTCTCTGTCAGGCTGAGAGTAGGAGGACAGAGTGAGAGAGAGAATGAAAGGTGGCAAAAAGTGGAGAAATAAGCATGTAGTTAAGAGAAGACAATGAATACATGTAAGATGAGAGTAGAGAAAACTGAAGCATCAAAAAACAAGAGCACTCAGAGGGCGCATGTACCTCTGCCAAGGCACAACGTTCGCCTGCGCAAATGGGTCCAGTATGAAAAATGAGATCCAGAACAAAACAAAATGTGTCCTAAAATCCTTAATCTGGATCGAATCTGGATCATCTTTTAGGGTATGATAGGCAGTTATACTGAACATTTCAGGGTTCAGTCTTCATTATATACAAAGTTATGGCAGAAAATATATGTTAAATGGGGGTTTCAGTGTCAACTTTAAATAGCCATCAGATCTGGATGAAATTTGGTCTGGTCAGAGACATTGCCACCTTTCATTGCGTTAAATTTCAAACAAAAAATGATTTCATTAACTTTTGAAGGAGGTAAGAATTTTTTTTAAATTTTGCCCCATATTAGATGGGATTTTTTTGTGTGATTGTTTTTGTGACCTTGACATTTGACGTTTTTCAGCCAAGATCTAATAACTTCTAGGGTCGGTCCCCACCAGTGTCTATAAAACGTATGCTGATGATCCATTCAACTGTTTGTCAGTGATCCTGCTAACCAGCACACGCACGAAACCAAAAACACAATGTCCATGGTAGAGGTAATCAATCCATAAAAAAGTCCAGAAGGAAGGGAGGAAGGGAGGGAGGAAGGAAGGAAGGCAGGAAGGAAGGAAGGAATTTCATTGTAATCAAAACACATAGCTAGAGGATCGACAGTCCAGCTGCATGTCTTCTCACCACCTGTTCTGTCATTGCACTACGTAACCTCCATATTAACAACCTAAAAAAAATCCCATTGAAAATCATATAGCAACATAACATAAAACATTTGGAGCACTACTAAACAAAAGACATTAAATGTTGATCAGAGTTTTATTACTGGCAGCATGTTGTTGCATGGTAAATCTCGCTTGAGTATGAACATTTCCTTGGAAGATTTGGGACAAGTATTTGGAGATGGATGGAGGTCTGCATGTAGGAGCATATAAAGCTGTAGCACAAATCTCAGCCTTCCAGTGACATTACAAAACAGGCTGAATCTAAACAACAGGAGTCCAGATGTTATTGTTTCTGGTCAATGTAAACAGCTTTCAGTCTAATAAACATACAGGCAGAAACATAGTTATGCAAATTCTGTGAGAAGCTTAACTCTTGTGTCCTGCACACACACCCACAGACAATGCATGACTCAACAGGACAGACACACACTTCTCTGGCAGGTCCTGGGCATGCACTTACAGGCGTTGATAGCCTTCTGTTTTCATAGTGTGCCCTGACTCCCAGGTATTTCAACAAGAACCAACATACACACATCTTTGATTTGATCTACCAGTAAATTCCTGGTAGATAATGAGAAGTGCCAGAGCCTAGCCAAACAGCCTTACTCAGATCTGTAGCCTAAAGCTAAAGAAGAACGCTTGATTAGCTCTGTGGGTCTGCTCAGGAGCACGGTGCCTGAACGCCTACAGGTACAAGCCCACTCATGTAGCTCAGTGATCTTGAAAGACTTGCACACACTCTTACTACTGCATCATATAACATGCACTTCAGGGCAT